TTTAAGTCCTCCCTACCTCTTGGCGAAGTTTCCACCCAGTATCTGTGTTACCTAGGTAACTGGCACACCTGGAAGCAGTCACCTCCCCCTCCTGCTAAGTCACATCTTGGGCTACTGCTGGTCACATGCCTCCCATCTGACCATAGGAGGGTCTCAGGCCCTGAGGTCACATCCAGATCCTGCGTGGCCAGATCCTCCACCTGGCCACACCTCTTCCTGTCCCTGGCCTAGAAAAGTCCTGGCCCAAGAGTAGGCCACCTCTTTTCAGCCACACCTCTCCACCATGCGTGGCCAGAGTAGCAGTTTGGTAAATAAACTTGTTTTCCTGCCTGAATACCACGTGGTGTTCTCTTCATCGGCTACCTAATGAAATCTACCTATTTAATATACCTTACAGGTATGGCTCAGAGATAAGAGCACCTGCCTTGCAAATGTGAAGTCTTGAGTTCAAATCCCAGCATCACCACCACCAAAAAAGAAAAAGTGAATTGGACAAATGAAATAAAAAAAACAAAATAACATGGTAAAAAAAATAACAGGGGCTGGTGGCTCGTGCCTATAATCCTATTACTCAGGAAGCTGAGATCTGGAGGATCATGACTCTAAGCAAGCTGAGGCAGAAAAATTCACCAGACTATCTCTAAAATAGCAGCCCAAATCAGGGCTGGAGGCATGTCTCAAGTGGTAGAGTACCAATTTAGCAAGCATGAGGCTCTGAATTCAAACCCCAGTAAACTTGTACCTCCCCATCCTTCCCCAAAAGACAAACTAAAACATGCATTTAAAATAAATTGTTATTGAAAGCAGAACTCTTTGGACTAATTGTGTAGCTAATTGGAAGGAATGCAGACAGTTATCCAAAGAATTTAGGACAAATAATGTTGTCTAACTTATTTCCTTATTTCATATGAAAGTGATTTTCTGGCCTTAACTGTTCTCTTTTATTTGCATGGCATGACCAAAATCTATCTTTTCATTTGAGTCACTGAGTATGCGTACCTCAGTTGCTATTGAGCTTGGAGGCACCAATAGCTGTTTTAAGCTGGGGTAGTAGCATTGAATGCCACAAAATCCCTATCCTCCTGGACAGAGATAGCCGCATCTTCCATGTGCCAGATTCTGTTCTCAGCATTGGGTTTTTTTTTTTTTTATGGAATGTCCATCTGTGGAAATTGATGATTAAATTGAAAAAAACATGTATACACCAGTTACATATCTTCCTATTTGTCTGTGAGTATAATTGTAACTAGACTTAGAGACTGCTTTTGCTAAAAGCATTGACTTCATGTGGGCCTGCTAATGTCTATAGATTCCTGATGAGTAACTACAAATAGGATAAAAGTTTCGTATCTTCGATTCCACCTTGCATCTGTCTCCTTTGCTCTTCCAGTCGCCTTGGATTACAGGGACACATTTTTGACAAAAGTTAAGAATACCTCAAGGCAACAGCTACTTTATCTTCTAGGCAAGTTCTAAAAGAATGCACAGATCAGACCACAGTTTGACCAAGATTGTTTATGCCAGCCTGTAGCCCTCCTTTTTGTCTCTTCCTACATAATTTGGAAGCCCAAGTCAGAATCCTAAGGATAGGGCTGAGGAGGTTGTTTCCTTCTTTTCTTATCCTCCTGGTATAGCTATACTGACTAAAGTTCCTTTTTCTGCTTTGTATCCTCCCTTTCTCATCTAGCTTTCTCCCTGCCCCACTGCCCAAAGGGTTTGAACTCCCTGCAGCTTTCTAGGCAGGCACTCTACCACCTGAGTTGTGTCCCCAGCCCTTTTACTTTAATTTTTCTTCAGATAAACTCTTGTTGTTTTTCCAGACTGACCTGGACAGCAATCCTTTTATTATGCCTTCTGTGTGGATGAGATGTCAGGTGAACACCACTGCACTTGGCTTTATTGCTTGAGGTGGGGAATCTCATTAACATTTTTCCTGGACTATCCTCCAATGGTGATCTTCCTGATATCTGTCTCCTGAATAGCTGGGATTACAAGCATGAACTACTGTGTTCAGATGCTGTTTTTTTTTTCGGTTGTTGTTGTTTTGTTTTTGTTTTTGGTCACTGGGTTTGAACACTCTGGGCTTGGGAGCCCAAGGCTCATGCTCTACTGCTTGAGACACAGTGCCACTTCGGGGTTTTCTAGTGGTTTATGGGAGATAAGAGTCTCATAGACTTTCCTGCCCGAGCTGGCTTTGAATCATGATCCTCAGATCTCAGCCTCCTGAGTAGCTAGGATTATAGGTATGAGCCACCGGCTCCCAGCTTGCAGTCTGTTTTTTTTTGAGGCAAGTAGCCATATGTGATTTGTCAGGACCCCAGAATGAGGTCTGTGGCTTAGGACTCCAATAACATGGACATATTCAGTTATATGTTTGTGAATATATTTGTGCCATACGGATTTAATAAGTATGTAACCTGTTTACATTAAAATTCTGTGCCTCAGTCTCTTATTTAAGGGAAAAGTATCATAGTATAAGCTTTAGCAAAATTGACAGCGATTATTTCATTATCACTAATACCTATATGTACTGTTGCATACACATTTGCCCAAAATTCCTCAACAAGATGAAACCAATAATTGTGGATCTCATTTTATTTCATTCATTTAGTGTTTGCTTAATACTGAACCATGTCCCAAGCCTGTAGTGACAAAATGTATTGTTCAGAAATGGCCCCAGCACTATCTCCCCTCTTGTCATCCTCCTTTTAGAGGTACAGCCTGATTTCCCTCCCTTCTGATCTGAGTTTGTGACTTGCTTGCTGTGGATGAAGGTGGTTCTTGGAAGCATATAACTTGTGAGGCTTGGTGCCATAAAAGGTGATAGCTTCTTCTGGTGAGCTGGAAAGTTCACCCTGGAACCCTGATGGCCATGCTGCTTTGCAGTCTCTTGGAAACCACAGGGAAAGCCCAGTAGGCAAGAACAATTGGTAACTTAAAGATGCAAATCTGAAGAAAGGGGTCAGCTGCTCGCTGACTGCTATCTTATGAGCAATCAAGGCAGAACTCAATTCCTCCCCAAATTCCTGACTCTTGGAGATCATAAGAGAGAAGAAAATGATTGTCTTTGTCTTTAATCATTAAATTTTGTGTGCTTTATTATATATCAATAGACAATTAGAATGACTCCTGGTTGGAGGTAAGCATTAAGAAGATTTCCTTTCTCTGAGTTTCTATTTCAGATCTTTCTCATCCATAGCAAATGAGGAATGATTACTTTCAGGGATGAATGATCAAATAGATAACAGTCAAACTTTGTTAATACAATTAGCAAATAGATCACATTTATTCATTCACTTTTAATTCTCATTTAATAGATTGTTTTCTCAGATAGAGATGTTAATTACTCTCCCTTGATCCTGAGTTTGAAATTCCTTCTTCTTGTTCCCAAGCATGACCTTTTACCCTACCTTACCAGACAACATTGCTATTCCTTTTTGCTTCTGTTTCAGCCAGAATGGAATCAGTAAAGTTCGTTCTGTGCCTATTCTTTGTATCCCTAGTGACTAGGCCATTATATGCACATAGATGACTTTTTTTTTTTTTTTTTGGTAGCTACTAGGGCTTGAACTCAGGGCCTGGGTGGTGTTCCTTTACCTTCTTACCTTTTTCAATCAAGACTGGCACTATACAATTTGTGCCATACCTCCACTCCTGGATTTTTGCTGGTTAATTGGAGATAAAGAATCTCAGACTTTCTTTCCATTTGGTTTCAGATCTCAGTCTTCTGATAGCTAGGATTACAGGCCTGAGGGCTTGGCCCAAGATTCATAAAATAGCAGATTTATTTAACTCCCTGACAAACCCCCCAACCCCCTCCTCACCCCAGCTTTATCCTGAAGGAAAGCTGTTAGTTCCTAGAGAAATAACTTATTCAAGGTCAAGTTCCTTGACACCCTGTGGACCCCAAGCCCAACAAATGCACAGTAATTGGGCTGCTAGATTAGAATCCTGGGATGGAACAGTGTGACCACAGGTCAACACACTGGGGGTGGGAGGTCAGGAGGGACACAAATAATGTCCATTACTATTACTGATCGCCCGCCCTGGGCCCAGGTGTTGCGATTGCACAGTAGACAAGAAGGCTGCAGTAGCACGAGCCCTGGTGCAGCTGGTCACATAGCAGAGAGGGACGTAACATCGTGTAAAATTCCACTAACTGCTCATTAGGAAAATAACAGACGGCGGCAATTGTCTGAAGGCTGGGAGAGCTCTCTCAGCTGGGGGCAGCCGTAGGCGGGCTTTGAGCGGGAGTGGCCAGGAGGGGGCGAGAGGACTGCAGGCACCTAAGAGCCGGTAATTCAAAGATGCAAACATTTCCCCCTCCGGCTGGAAGGGAAGCTGGCGGCGCTCGGTGGGCTCGGTGTTCTCCGGGGGAGGGGGCTGCACTTCGAGTACAAGCTCCGTCGTCCAGTAGCGCAGGGTCGGGGGGCGGTGAATTCCAGCAGCCTTTAATTCCCAGATTTCCCAGGATCGGCCCACCCAGGTCCTTTCCATTCCCCCAGGCAAGCAGACTCTGCACCTCGTGCCGGACTCTGGGCCGCAGCAAGCGGGAAAGGCCCGGCTGGCGGATGCCCACTCAGGACACCGCTCACCACCTGAGTTAAAGGGTCTGTAACCCCGGCCGGCAGAGAGCAGGCGGGGGGCGGGGCTTACTCTGCAGATCTAGGCGGTGGCGTGGGTTCCGCCCACTACCCTAGACCCCGCCTCCAAGCTTATCTGATTGGGTCAAATCCGCAGAAAGGCCGGGCGGCCCCGGGCGGCCCCGGGGGTCGGGCTGAGAGGAGCACGCTGATTGGTCCTTCATGGATGAGGTCATCGCTAGCATGTTCGAACGGCCGGGACGCCGGCGGGGCTGCCGAGGCTGCTGTGAGAGGGCGCTCGCGGCTGCTGGAGAGCGAGCTAGCTAAGGAGGCGGGGTGGTGGCCGCGCTCTCGCTCGTCCGTCCGCTCGTTCGTTCGCTTCCCGGCGCCGTTGCGGGCCCGCCGCTGCGTGGCTGGCCGTGGGAGCATCCCCCTGCCCACCGACCTGCCCCCGGCTGGGTCCGGGAGTGCTCCACGCCCGCGGACCCCGCGCTCTGGGCGAGCCGGCGCCACACCTGTGGAGCCGGCGGCCGTCGAGGGTGCCGGCCGAGGTCCTGCGGCGTGCGAGCCCCGGGGAGGCGCGGCCCCTGGCTGGGCGCCGCGGGCAGCATGGGGCTCCCCGCGCTAGAGTTCAGCGACTGCTGCCTCGACAGCCCGCACTTCCGAGAGACGCTCAAGTCGCACGAAGCGGAGCTGGACAAGACCAACAAATTCATCAAGGAGCTCATCAAGGACGGGAAGTCACTCATTAGCGCGCTCAAGAGTGAGTGTCCGGGCGGCAGGGCCGCGGCCCCCGGGGGCGGAGAACGGCGGAGGGCCCCCCGGCTCCGCTCCGGACGTCCGCGCGCGGCGGGGTCTCGACCCCCCCCCCCCGAGCACTGGCGGACGGGGTCAGGGCTTCTGGGAGGCTGGAAGAACGCGTAACGTGGGCTAGGCAGCCGCGTCTGCGGAGGCAGGAGCCCGGCCGCCGGTGCCTCTGCGCCCGGGGATAGCTGGGGTGGGGGGGAGCGGGGGGGAGCGGGGCTGTCCGGGCGCGGACGGTACTGCGGGCACACAGGTGTCCTCGGAGTCGGACCGCGCTGCCCAGACCGCCCTTCGGCCTGCCGGACAACCCATCACATCCACGATTCGCCTTCCTTCAGGAGACGATTTGCCCATCCCCGGAGGGCGGGGAATGGAGCCAGGGCCAGGGGGGCGCTGCCTGCTCTCCTCCCACTCCCCACCCCCGGGAAAAGGCGGGTTATGATGGCTTTTTGCTCCCACTGCTGCAGCCCCAGCCTTCCTCGTCAGGACCGCTGGGTTCTCTGGGTGTGGAATGCTTGGTTAGCTCGTGATTCTTTTGCAGTATTGACAGCGAATACCCCTCAGACCTAGAGTGAGTGCAGGTTCTGATCCTCGTGTTTTGCAGAAGGTGACGGGTAGAGTACAGCACCAGAGTGTTCCTTTACTCTAAACTGTGGGCGAGGGTTTAAAAATAGCACGAGCATATCCCTCTCTCTCCCTCTCTCCCGCGTTCCACTTTTTACCTCTCTTATTATTCTTGAAAAAACGCAAGAAGTCTGAGAAAGAATGACCTCAGTTCTCTCCCAGAGAGGAGAAGCTCTGAAAGGTTCTCTGACCTTTGGAACACCAAGTTTTGCTCCCCCCCCCCCGTTTTGATAAAAGGGGATAAAATAAAATTTGCATGTGGCTTGACTTTAGCAAAACCAGTTTCTCCTTTTGGCCATGTTGGAATACTTTAGGGATGAACTTTGCAATGTTTCTTGGGCCTTTCTAGGCCTACCCTCTTGAAATGAGTTCAGTCCATCTTGCATATTGAGAATCAGGAGCAATGGGAATACAGTGAGGAAGGAATAATATTTGATTCTACTTTACTGTGATGCATTTCCTATAAGTGATCATCTTTTAGCTATCGTTGCCTTAACTGAGTAGGTTTTAGCTGTGAGAATTGTCCCCAGGCTTCTTTAAAGTGGTCTGAGATATCATTTGGTGAGCCTGTTGCTTCTAAAAATGAAGAGTGAGACAATTGAATGCCAAGACAGCCAGTGCCAGTCTTTCAAGGGAAGTGAACTATAACACTGTGATATTGAGACTTCCCAGTGACAGAATCTGTGCAGGAAGCCAGGGTTCCAAAGTGTAGAAGTAGCAATTTCTTTCAGTAATTAGGGCCATCGTTGTTTTAGCTTTGAACTGAATTAGAGGCCTGCTTACAAGTTGGGTTCAGGAATTTTGGTTGATGCTTAGACCTGCTATTGACAGTCGACAGTGGGACCATCCATCCAAAGGCTCAGTATGTAGCCCAGGCTGGAATCAAGCCTAGAATGTTCCTCTTGTCTCTACCTTCCAAGTGCAGAATTGTAGGCAGGCTTTACCGTGCCCAACTTCAGACTAGCTTTAGTTAGTTCTCTGCTTCACTCAGCAAACATATTGAGTACCTGCTTTGTGCTGGGTTCTGCACCAGCATTGAGGGTGCAGCAATGACTTTCTGACTCTGTGGCTATGGAGGCATATTATTTCATGTCAAATTTATTTCACCTATGAGCTATCTCATGTGCCTTTATTTTGAAAATGAGAAACCAAGGTTTGGGGGGAAAGTACTACCTGAGAGTCACATAGCTTAGCAGCTGAGCTAGACTCTTTGCCTGTTGCTGTTGTTTGGTTAGGAAGAAACATTGTAGTGATGGGATTAAAGGGTTAGCCTGCCTAAACTAACTTGGGGTTAGGACTGATGGGGTATTCTGGTTGGTCTACCTCTGAGTCTCCTGCATACAGGTCTCTCCTGACACTCCTGACACTGGTAACAACTCTGGGGTATGTGATGTGCCAGTCCTGGGGCCTGAACTCCGGGCCTGGGCACTGTCTCTGAGCTTCTTTGACTCTAGGCTAGTGCTCTACTACTTGAGCTACAGTTATACTTCTGGGTTTTTTTTTTTTTTTTGGTGTTTAATTGGAGATAGAAGTCTCATGGACTTTCCTGCCCCAGCTGGCTTTAAACCACTATCTTCAGGTCTCAGCCTCCAGACTAGCTAGTTTTATAGGCAGTCACAGGCATCAGTATCTCTTTACCAGCTTTCAGGCATTCTCTTATGGGTTTTGCTTGTTGCATTATGACCTACTGTATCAATTCCTATGTATTAGTTTTTCTTCTATCTTTATCACTACTGTAAATGAAAAGCTAGGGGTTTTCCAGTATAGCACAAAAATAAATACATAATTATATATAATTATACAAGTAACACTGGTTTTGTGGTTTCATCTCATGACCTTATTTTACTTTATAGCTATTTTATAACTAGCACTTGCAAACCCTTTAGGTTTAGATTGCTTTTGTGTATGTATAAGAGATAATAAAACTGGCCTTCAGGGATTTCCAAAGTTTTAACTTTATGAATGAGAAAAATAAGGAGCAGAGAGGTCAGTAACTTGCCTGAGGGGACACAGCAATTAAGGGAATTTAAATACAAGCTGTGGATTTTAAAGGCATTACACTTAACTCTAGAGGGGCCTTGTCATCTAGATTGGCCTAAATCAGAGGGTCTCCTATATTTGTCTTTTAGATCCCTTTGGGTGTATGATAAAAGCTGTGGACTTCATAAAAATGAATTCTTGAATTCTTACTCTTGTCCCTAGACCTCTGGTATGAACACACAGATGAAAAGCAATAAAATAATTTGGTATACATTAAAAATTACTTTTAGAGAAAGTTCTTGTTTGATTTAGAATTGAGCTGTGGCAACTCTTAGTAAGTTGTTTCTGGTGCTGATTTGTCTTGGCTTTGATTTGTGTGTCCAGTGGGAACTTTTTCACCCAGGACCCTTTCCTCTGACCTGATTAATCATGATCTCAATCAAGACATATAGTCTTGCATTTTTTTTTATCTGTAGAGGTGATAGAGGAGGAATTAATTTTAGGATTTCCTGGATTTGAATCTTGACGACTATAATGTACTAGTTGCTTTTGAGCTTAGTACTTATTTTACTCATTGTGAAATGACAATTGTCACACTATCTCCTAAGACTCTGAGGACTGATAGAAGCAGTTAATTCCGTAAAGAAAGCACTTAAAGCCAGATGTGGTAATGTAGGCTTGTAACCTGCTACTGGGGAAGTTTGAAGCCAGTATGGGCTGTATAATGAGACCCTGTTTAAAAGAAAGCGTGAGATTGAGAGAAGAGGGGGAAAGCACTTAGCTTGAGGCCTAGTACATGACACTGTTAACTATAGCTATTAGCACCTTTCAGTGTTGAGGATTTTCAAGACTTTGGTATTTCCTAGGAGAAAGCCAAGTGCATACTTTGCTTTGGTTACAGGGAGTTATGCCATTTGGTTCCTCATACTAGTTGGTGGTAACTTACACAATTGTGTATTAGCCACTGATGGGCAGGTTCCTGCTAATAGTGTTGGTATCAAGTTGTGCTTTTTGCCAAAAAGCTCCACAAGTTAAACAGGGACACAGAAATTCAATCTCCTAACATCTCTTCTGTTCCCAATAATCTGACAGCTTAACTTTCCCTAGGTAGATAAACTTTCACCTCAGTGGCTGGGCTGGTTGCCTCCCTGTCTTGCAGGATAAGCTTGCAGAATGCATTGGACTTCATGTGTGGTTCTCCTGTGGACTCAGTGGTAAGCCAAATGTGGTTTCATAGAAAATCATAGTGAATTAGGCTGCTGGTTTCAGGGGGTGGTGTAGGTCTCAGCTGTGTTTCTTCCCATAGTAACAGTTGGTTTCTGGACTTCTTGCTGGGTACTGCCTGTGGAGATAGAATACCCTTATTCTGATAACCTACAGAGAGGTGGAGCAGAAATACAGGTTTTAAGATACTAGCTTCTTTGAGATACAATTAACATTACCATCCAGTTCACTTAGGCATCTAATTCAGTGGTTTAGTTCACTCAGTTACACATCCATCCATTATAATCAGTCAGAACATTTGTGCCATCTCAGAAGAACCTGTATTCATTTCCTCCCAACCCCTGAAGGTCTATCAACCACCAGTGAATTTTCTATTTCACTAGGTTTGCCTGTTTTGGACACTAGAAGTACAATTCTGATCATCTTGGTGATGGTGACCAACTTTAGGCACAGAGTTCATGATCTGAATTTCAAATGGAAAAACCTTGAATGATGTAGCTGCTGTTCTGTACAACAAAGGGGGTTAAGCAGAAGTGGAGGCCCTAAGATTGAACTGTGGTGAAGAAACTTGGATGTGTCCTTGTGTTTCTAATGCAAGAAGGGTGGGGACTCAAAGTAGCTCTACTTTGATAGCTACAGAGGGAACAACTAAAATAAGATGAGAACCTAGACCTTCTCTGAGTTTTCAGTCAAGTTAAGGTGGGTGGGGTGTATAACGCTGAATAAAACCATACTTTTTGGTTGCTACCCCGTTGGCTACATTTTTTTTTTTCTAAATGAAATGAATATATTTGTTTTTCTTAGTTGAACCTATACTTTCAGTGAGCCTTTTGGGATAATGAATGTGCTTTTTCTGTTGCATTCTGAGGTTAGTGATTTGCAAATCTTTTGTCATTTTTCTTGGGTCAAATTCACAAGGTAATTGAACAGAATTAAGGAGATAGCCCGATAAGAATTCCAGCATCATGGGGCTGGGAAGGTGGCTCAGTGGTAGAGCCCTTGCCTTGCATGCATGAGGCCCTGGGTTCGATTCCTCAGCACCACATAAGCAAAAAGAAAAAAGCCGGAAGTGGCTCAAGTGGTAGAGCACTAGCCATGAGCTGAAGAGCTGAGGGACAGTGCTCAGGCCCA